TATATATCTTCCCTTTGAGAGTGGATCACCTGATGCACCATAAACCCCCAAACTCAATTTTTGCAGCCTCTGGAATTTCTCCTACCACAATTGTTAAATATTCTAATATTTAAGATGAGATTAAGAAATACATATAATATATGTGGGTATATGTTTATTTAAAAGGGACATGGTAGCTTAGTGGCTAAGACGCTGAGCTTGTCAATCAGAAGGTCGGCAGTTCAGCGGTTCGAATCCCTAGTGCCACATCATGGAGTGAGCTCCCGTTACTTGTCCCAGCTTCTGACAACTTAGCAGTTCGAAAGCATGTAAAAAATGCAAGTAGAAAAATATGGACCACCTTTGGTGGGAAGGTAACAGTGTTCCATGTACCTTTGGCATTTAGTCATGCTGGCCACATGACCATGGAGANTGAAGTGGTATATAAGTCTAACTGCTATTGCTATTGCTTTCCTTGGTTTATCAGTCATTCAAAAACAAATATCACACATCTTTCTGTCTTGGACAGACAATAGTTTTGCCTAGCAAGAATTAATTATGGGGTCCTTGGTGCTCTCTGAGTTGGCTGTTTTCTTGCAGTTGTTTCACTACTCAACTAGGTAATATCATGAGTGCTAGAAGGAAATGGAGTTTGATCTCTATTTATATACAAGTGGTCTGCTCCATCAGTGTTGGTGTAGAAGGGCCCAGGCAGGAGAAATCATGCTACACAAAATTGACAAAAAATTGGTACTAATCAAAAGATATTCCTAGTGGTATTATTCAACATTTTGGAAACCAAACCCTACTCTCCTTCACTATCAAATGCATCTTTTTGAAAGATATATTTGGAACTGAAAAACCACACACACACACACACACACACACACACACACACACACACACACACACACACACACAGAGCAAGAGAGCCAGCGAGAGAGCGAGAGAGTGAGAGATACATATGTGTTCATTTGTTTGTTTGTTTGTATCTCACCTTTATTATTTTTACAAATAACTCAAGGTGGCAAACAAACACAACAAATCCCCTACTTCTGTTATAACAACAACCCCAAGCGGAGGGTTGGGCTGAGAGAGTAACTAGTCCAAAGTCATCCAGCTGGCCTTCATGGCTAAAGCGGGACTTGAACTTGCTTTCTAGCAAGATAGAAAGTATTTGTGGGAATTACTTTGATTTTGCAAGTATATACCCTACCCAAAAGCTAAGGCAAAGAGACTACCATCTATCAAAATCCAAAGAAATCTATTAAAACATATTTAATTTAATGTAATTATTTGAGAAGTATCAGATGCAATAAGAATATCAGATTAGTTAAAACATTTGGTACATCCATGAAAATAATTACTGAGTGTATTATAAACAAATCTGTGTCTATTGGCATCAGTTCTGATTAATTTACAGAATAGCGCATGAGGTCAACATGCATTGTTTTGATATTTGCCTCCTTTACCTGCCTCCTACCCAAGAAATCATGATTAGGACCTAGGATGAGTTATGGGCAACCTTGATGGTCCTGCACCTCTAAATCACTGCATTCTGTTAGCCTCCAGCTACTTTTCCCCACAAAGAATTCAGAATTTGAGAAGAAGCCTTAAGTTCTCCAGGAGGGAATGTCTATTATTAGTTCTTGAGATTATATTTAATCAGTTTTACCATCCTCAAATAAAAATATCTCTTCAGATAAATGTTAAAAATTCTAAACTATATTTTGGATGAATTCGCTATTTATCTGTGGCCTCTAAAGCACCAACATCATCAACACCTAACAGAAAACCTGCAATACATTTTTGCTGGATATTTTTAATGAAGAACACTCCCACCATTCAGTGTGCCAGGTGTGTTAATCCCTTGGCACATGTAATAAATCTGTTTTGGATAAAAAAAATAATCATCAGGAACTCCCTATAAAGGGTTTACAAAATTTCAGCCCCAGTCTCCTTAAGTGATATCTCCATTTTACTGGGATCATTCATGAAAGCTTTAGACGCCAACTTTTGTTTAATAACAAACTGAAGAAAAAAATGTTGGCTTGCAGGCAATAACATTACTCATCCTATGCTAAGCCTTAATGAGATCTCTTTGTGACTTAGTGTGCTGTAGGAACAATTTTGATTTGCATGCTTTGTACCTTAGCACTGTGTGTGAACCAGCTCCTAAGGGCTAGCTCTCTCCAGGGACATCCTGTCATATATCTGTCTGTTGATAGGACTGGCTCTGGACATTGGTTGTACAGTTAAATTGCAGCACTCTCAAATTATGCTTCTATAGATATTTTTAAAGAGATTTTTTGCAGGTCATGAACTGTTCTATTTATGGCTTATGTTTTTATCACTCATAAGGATCTGCCCTTTTATTGCTCATTTTGAAATTCTGTAAGTTTTTCTGCAAGCTCTTTACAGACAATATTCTATAGGTCATATTCAAATATGGAGCACCTTGCAGCAATTGGTAAATATGGTTTTCTTCTGGCAGTGTTTTATAAGAAATGTAACATTTTTTCTTTACTAAGAGTTAGAAAATATGAAGGAAGAATAATTGCTTTTAAATCAACCAAACACTCTAGTCAAATTATGTTTCATAATAATCTTTTGATGGTACTCCTCAGAGTTCCTTGAAAAAAGTATGTCAAACTCCTGCACTCCAGTGCAATTATGCTGAATTTCTGTTAAATAATAATGACTGTGACACTGTCCATGCACACATACATAGGCTTACCTGCTACTCACAGAAGCTTCTCTTTTCTTTAACATAGTTGTAATTGATTTTCAACAGAGCAGAATAGTAGCAGCTGGTCCTTTCCTTCATGCTTACCTGCCATTTGGACTCATACAGATCCCTGAAATCAGCAGTGCTCATAATCACAGAAAAACAAAACTAGCCATTTTCAGAGTTCCTTGAAATTGAGAACAGTTTTGGATCTGCCCTATTCTGTATCCACTAGAAAATCATTTTGGGGTCTTCTATGCTCTCTGTGCTAGGAGGATATTGCACTGGGTGTGCACTTGATATGGAAAAAGTTTTCCTTGCATTTTAAGAAGCTTCTAATCCTTACAAATCTAACAGTTCATGAGTGGTGGGACTCATTAGTTTTGTTCTTTTAAAAAGTTTGGGTTTGTGCTCATAATTTTTTGTTCTTAGTTATTGTTGTAAAGCTTTGACATTATTTTCAAGTTTTAAATTGTCAACATGGCAGATTGCTTTGGGAGCCTTGCCCAAAAGTTAAAGAGCTATTGTGTTATAAAGATCTAAAATGAATGCTTTACACAAATGTCCTAAAGATCCAGGAACATAACATACTATATTAACAGTTTGCTCCTGAAGAGCAGAGATATATTTGTTATTGTTTGTGATTGGGAACTACCTTAAAATTGAAAGAATCCCTGATTAACATTATATACAAGCAGGTAGGAACCATTTTAAAACTAAGTTCACACCCACATTTTCTTTAAATCTCTCTTTTGAAGAACAATTAACATCCCTTCCAACTCTCATCTGGAAAATCATCAGTAGGTGAGGGGAGGCGGAGTGACTGAAAAATTGATATATTACTAAGGTGACCAGATTTTCAGATTGGTAAAGAGGGACACCATTGACCGGGGGGGGGNTGCCTCTAGTGACTGCACGTCCCTGGCATATAGTCAATTCTTGCTCAAACTCTGAAACCTTGCCAGAGTTCCAGTGGCATACAGAATAGTGTGGTAATTTTGTGTTACACAATTTTTGCTACTGTCTCTGTAAGTCTGCTTCAACTGGTAAGGACACCAAGGTGAGCGCTAATGGTATTTTTAACTATTCTTTTGAATTGGACCTTGAAATGGTGTCTATTATTTTGTTTGGTCGAGAATTGTGTTACGCTATTATGAAGCAGATGAAATTACCACAAGCCAGCTAAAGTACCGTTCTCCAGTAGTCTAACTATGATATTACCCCCAAAATGCATGGCTGCGGACACATACAAAACATTACCTTTCACTGAAAGATTTAAGAAGAAAAAAAGCTAAAGAATCTACAAAATCTCATGTTATAATGTATTTTTCATTGGTGTTTAAGTTGCTAAAAGGTGGGTTGTTTTGTAACAATTAAATAAAGATCTTGAAAAGTTGTTATTTCAGAAAAGAATAGCATCTCCTGCATTTGAGTTCCTATGGGGTCCTTGGCACCAGAATATATTACTCTGCAATGATATTTATTTATTTGGTTATATCTAATTTTTAAAAAATCCTGTTTACAGGTGGTAGGATTATAAAATGCTCAGAATCAGATAGCAATTGAAGTAACATGGAAACCAAATAAATTTAAACCTTAAATAAATAATTTGTTTCCTACTTGAAACAAGTCCTGAACCACAATGGATTTTTGAATGCATTGCCTTGTAAAAGTAAACCAGAGGAAGGGAGGGAAGGAGATAGGCACGCAGGCAGGAGGCAGGAAGGAAAGAAGGAAGGAAGGAAGGAAGGAAGGAAGGAAGGAAGGAAGGAAGGAAGGAAGGAAAGAATTCCTTGAGTTTCAACCCTCTGCTCATTTCAGTATCTACATTGAGGCTCCCTAACAGAGAGACATCAATAATAAATATTGCTTTTAAGGTATAGTCTTAGTTGTGTAGAAATTAAATCTCTGACTTTTAACAGAGTGGAGCTATTGCATAAGCAGGCAACATTTAGTTTCAGCACAGTTTCAGCAGGCATATTTAGATGGCATTGCAATGATGGGAGTGGAAGAATATGTCCTTGCTAATAGAACTGAGTTTCAGGTAAAGGAAGGATTTAAATCATGTGGAAATTCCCAGCTGAAGCTTCTCGAACAATTCCCCCTTTTCCATTCCAGGCATGCAGTGAATTCAGTGCCAATATGAGAGTCTCCCTGAAGTGGGCTGGTGAGATGGAGCGGGAGAGAGGCACTATTGGGAAACAAGGAAGGACAAACACTGTTGGGTCACTGCTTCTGCTAATCCTGCAGAGTCCAGGCTCTCTATAAAAGGCAAGGCAGCTGAGTCAACAGCCTTCACAGACTCTTTGAGAGCAGTCTGTGACCGACAGCTCTGCAACACCTTGCCTGAAAGCCACCAGAGGGCGAGGAAAAATGAAATTTACCCTCCAAGCCACTCTGTCCTTTGGGCTGCTGGGTAAGTGAACGCAGATTAACAGATAGTAACAATTCTAGCACCAGAGGTGATTAAAGGGGCGACTTCTAGACTAGTTTTCAAAATGAAACCTTTAACTACTGTGGAGTATTTTTTTCTCTTTCTATTGCATTTGTTTCCCGCCTTTTCTTCTAAGAATTCAGGCTGGCATATATGGGATCTTCTTTGCTTTTATGTTTTCACCAACCCTAAAGGTTGGTTTGGCTGAGGAAAAGTTTAGTATAAAATCACTCAGCATACTCCATGATCATATGAAGACATGAATTTAGATTTCTATCATGTACATGTAGCACCTTACCCACTATGCTACACCAATTACCTTGTTCCTGGTGTTTTTTAAGAACTAGAAAATTGCAAAATTAAAAAAAAATGCAGAAATTTCAGTTTTAACTGAGGATCTGGTTCAAGAATTCTGCCAAATATACATTTTTAATATGAAGATTTAAGTTTCAATTTAAGCAAATGCTGAACTTGGGGTTATGCTTTCATACAGGCTGAAAGGAAGACCAATACATAAATTATTTAATTAGATGTGAGTTCAAAGGCAAAAGAAGAAAGAATACTGTTTTTATTATCATCATGAATGAACTTGCTTTGAACAAGGAATATTAGGGTGGGATGAGATACTTTAAGAAATATTTCCAAATTAATGTGATTGCATACTAAAAGAAACTGGAGGAGAGAAAAGATGAATAAGAGATAGGTTGGTTAATTATTCCTCTGTCATCTAAATTATCCCTGCAAATATTTTTTTACTTCTTTCCTGACAAGATTAGAACAAATACAGGAATAAGGGGCAGGTATGGAATGGAATAGACACACTTATCTTGATAATTGCTCCCTCCTATTGTTATCTTTGTCTTCTACACAGGTTACAGAATAAACCTGAGTCTGAGAAACCCATTATATTTATTTTATAATGTGATTTTGAGGACTGAAAAGAATAGGATGTGTTGTGCAACATATCTGGAAGGCAGAAATTTTGGAAAGTTATTTGGCAGTGGCTTTCCTAAGTTTCAGAATGGGGAGTTTTTCCACCTCCAACCTAATGCTATTCCTGGATGTAGGGATCAAAAAAACATTGCATTAACTTCATTATTTTAAATAATGTGCCACCATTTTTTAAAAAACCACGTAAATTTAGGAGCTGGAATGAAGATCATGAACCTGGGTTGTTAGTAAAGGGAGGTTAATACAATCTTCCTGTGAGCTGTGATCTTTTCAAAATCTTGATAAATGTTCTTGTGCAGAACAGATGATCAATAGTCACCAGATTCAATTCAAATGCCAATATTCATAATCAGCAGAATGAATGGCAAGAGAGAGTGCAAGGATCCAAAATGTCTATTTCAAAGGCTGTAAATCTCTTCATATGTTACTGTCATGCACTGGTACAACTTCCAGTAAGGAACATTTGTAATATAATGGAGAATATGAAAATTACTTAGCAATAGCAATAGCAGTTAGACTTATATACCGCTTCATAGGGCTTTCAGCCCTCTCTAAGCGGTTTACAGAGTCAGCATATTGCCCCCAACAATCCNCTAATGGTGCCAACCAGCACAGAACCCTAAGATAATAATTGCCATTTTAATGACATATAGTTAGCAGCACACCATGTAGTCACTCATCAGGTCACTTATATTCCCTCCTTTCCCAGGCAGGTTGTTCATGGGAGGATGGTGGTGTCCAAAAAGGTAACAATGGCATATATAAAAAAAGGGAGAAGCCTTAATCCAATGGGATGGCTAACATTTTGATTTTTTTAAACCCCTTCTCTGTAGACATTCCTACTTTCAGAAAGTGTGAATCCTGAAGTAGAGTAATGGGTCTCAGTATTCTGTAAGTTTTAGGCACCTTTGTGGAAAGGTTTTGCCTATGATTCACAATTTTGTCCAGTTATAGGTTATAGTCATGAGAATTTTAAATAATATATAGATTTTAAATGAAGTTGGTTGGCACAGGGAATCTTGGTGATATTAAGGGAGATGTCTAGGGCATAATGGTATCTATTGTAAATTAAAGGATGCCTTCAGATCACCACCTTCCAATTTGCTAACTTCCTGCTTTTCTAGAAATATGCAAAAGGATATTGTTAGATATGGCTCCACATCCACATAGATACCATGATAAATCTTGTCTGTTCTTTTCACTGTCTCGCTATCCAATTAACCGATAAGAAATCAACAGCTGATTTCCTTTCATTGAATTATTTCAGCTTGTTAGTTATTTGTGCAATGAAGATCTGAATCATCAACTTTTACTGCTAACAATTGGGGGTCAGTGGGGAAACAGAAGCATTCTGTAATGAGTTGCTTGGAGGTCATGCAGAAGGAAGAAAAGGATCAAACTGAGAATGGAAGTTATTAGTGCATTTTTGAACAAAGGATGCATGGGTGTATAGGCTAGTAAATATATGTATATATTTGTGATCCCTGATTGCAAACCCAACAACTCATGGAGCCTTGAGACAACCCCCCCACAGCTGATGCATCCCCACTGAACAGGGTTTACTCTAATGAGAATATGAACAGGAGACTGCCAGAAATGCCAAGGCTATAGGGTAAGTGACAAATACCCCCAGAGAAGGCAAGTCAAATCAAGTCCTCCACTATTGTCAAGAGAACTTGAGATCTACTGTTGGGAAACATTTATATTTTCCTCCAGATACTTGAAAAAAATACCTTCTCTAATTTCTGTTAAGGGCCATGCTGAACTATACATCCTTGCTGAAGCAGGACAGAGTTTACTATGGAAGTCAGAAGCTGGATGCTGGATCTTGGCAGCAGAAATCTTTCCAGAAAAAGGAGAGATTATGAAATTGCCCAGGTGCACTCCATACAGTCACTTCTTATGAGTAGACTGCAGGAATTGATGTTTTGCGATCAGCTTATGACTCAAGCGACTGGAAGTTGAGGGATACCATCTAAATTCACAGCCATAGCACAGACCTTTTATTAATAGACATAAAGCTTTACTGAGCCCAATTTCTTAAGGCTTTGGAATTACTGTATTTTGAAATCACTTTTAAACTCATTTATAAATATTAAGATCTTCTGGAACAGCAAGTTTTTATTAGTCTGGATGAGTTTCCTTCTCCTGTGTGAAAGAAACTTGAAGTACACATTTAAAGACTTAGAAAAATATCATTTAAAAAAAAAAACCCGGCAAAGGGATGTTTAGAGTGCTGATTTTGAAATGTTAAAAAACGTCAAGATCAATTTGAAATAAAAAAATAGGGTTAATTATAAGAATCTGTAGGAGAAGGACAGGCAGAGCCTGAGATCAGAGTCAACCTGGAGTCATTAAATTCCCACAAGTGGTCTAATTCCAACCTCTCTTGAATTCCATTAACTCTTCTCTGGCACCAATTTAGGACTGACTGTTAGTTGCCTAGGTTTTTGTGTATAGGCATGAGCAATAAATCATCTTAACTGGAACTTTAGTGTAGTCCTGATTATTCACACCTAACAGAATCCTTCCAATGGGAAACTGGTTGTTTGCTCTTTCTGGGAAAGTATCATGATAATAGGGGAATGTTGGATATTGGAAGGTACCGGAAGAAACTAAAGATTAAAGGAGGACATGTAGATTTGACATGCTAGTATAAGTATAAAATGGAGCAAAATGCTATAGCAGTAAATCTTTTTTATGAAGAATTGTGAATCATTTCAGAAATTAATTTAAGACAATGTAATATCATAGATTAGACACTGGGCTTCTTGGCTGGAAAGCTAACAGCTCAGGTTTGAGACCCAAGTGCCATGAGCTCGTGTCCTTGGCCCAGCTCTTCCCATTCTAGTTCAAAAGCATGTACCACTTCGGTAGGAAGGTAACAGCGCTCCATGATGTCATGTTTTTGGCCACATTTCTGTGGAAACAGACAGTTTTGGCTTAATGGCCTCAAAATGGAGATGAGCATTGCCCCCTGTAGTCAGCAACAACTATAGCAGAATAAAATCCAGAGGGACGCCTTTACTCTTCAATATTATAGATAGATATTGTGCAAATATTGTTTTAGGAGAGGAACAAGTTGTACCAGATAAGATTAAAATTGATTTAAATCTGGATTTAAATATGACAAGTGACAAGAATGGAATGGAAAAGATGATGTACTGAATATATAAATGAAATCAATTGATGTCTTGACACTTGAAAAGGAGAAGTACTAAACCAGAAGAGTGTCTTGGGTAATGTTTTTTTAAAATTGAACTTAAAAAGACATTTGTTAAAGTTTTGAAGGATCTGCTGATGGGAGACAAAGATTAAACGAAATCAAGTGTGAGGCCTCTATTTGAAGAGATTAAAAGCCAAGATTGTTAAAAGTACCAGGAAGTTTAGATTTAGCTTATTTGATTCAGGTTAAAATAGATATGTAGTTATTTTTGGTAGCTATTAATGGATTTGTTCTGAGTAAGAATGAATGACAAAGCCTTGAGATTTTTTTTATAGTCAAGAGATGAGTTATCTCTTGGTAAAAGAGTGCCTCTGTTGTATTTTAAGAGATAGTTGTTAGATACCAGAAACATTGGTAATGGTTTACACCAAGGTCCTCTGTTCCAGCGGGAACAGAGATTCAATCTGATTGGTCGAAGGGTCTGACAACTCCCTATAAAAGGGCTGCTGTCAGACTGAACCTTCGCTGGATTGTACATAGTTGACTTGTGCTAATAAAGAGCTATTTGTTATTCTGAAGCCTGAGTGTGCCTTCATTCACCGATCTAACACTGGCAACAAAGGTGGCATTGGAAAACAAATAGGCAGACAAAAAGAGCACAACAATCCAGCCTGGAGCACGGTGCAGCATCAAGCAGCCATCTTTGAGCGGCAAATTCAAACACGCTCACAAACACAAGATGACAATGCATGCCCTACCAACTCCGTACAACCCAACCACTGAACACTGGGAATCCTACATGATGAGGTTCGATTGCTTCCTTGAAGCCAACGACCTCATGGGCCTTTCTGAAGGCTGGAAAAATA